TATTGTTAATCCTTGCTCGGCTTCCAATCTTCAATAGAGTACAAAGAAAGGGAGGGTGCTCCCTCATTCTGTAGCTGCATCCATCATCCTCCTTAAAAAATGCCTTAACATTCTTTGATGAAACGTTTATCCCACAGGCAGAGGTATACAAAGCAACAACCCCCCTTACCCTAGGTTCACACCCTGTGCATTTTTTGGAAAGGGTCATGGACTTTTTTGAACGCAAAAAGTTGCATTTTTGGTTCTATAGACTTTGATGGAGACGTTGCAGAAAAGCATGTATTGCATTTTTGCTGCATTTTTGTCACGGTTTGCATTTTAAATCTGCCTAGCAACAAGGAAAAAAAACGCAAATACATAAAAACACTGCAAAAACGTGGCAAAAAATGCAAGTGCAAAAACGCAAAACACAATGCAGAAATGGCTCAAACGCAAACTGCATATCCTAGGCTGACAGTGGTTTTAAGGACTCAGGAAACTCTGGGGAGTAAAGTCCTTGGTTCCCATCACTAACAGTAATATTATATGGAGTATTCCAGGTACTGTAAAAAGCTGAACTTCAGGCACACAATAAAAACAGGTGATAGCCTAAATGTTGTTAATGCAACATATGAACTTTTTTTTAAAACCACAGTACTTTTCTTAAAAGATTAGTACGGTAATTAAAAAAAAAGAAATGTACATACTCACCTAGGTGGATGCTGCATTTGTCCCCCATCATCTCTAAGACTGAGAACTGAGCGATCAAAGACCTGCTCTGCCTCTCCAGCACTCACTGAATCACTGGGCTATGGAGGGAGTGGGAGTGGCTGGCTCAGGCTCTCACTGAGAGGTTGAGTCAGCTGTTAGTTAGGAATCTGGATGGATCCTAACTTTAAAGTAGGGATCTGGGATGTGACCAAGATGCCTAGTTGAGGAGCTCTGCTGCTACAGAGGGGAAAATCATCCTGATCTGCTACTCTGATCCTATATTATCTCAGCTGGGGACCCCCCCTGACTTTTCTCTTCTGATGATGACATGGGGCAGTCAACAATCTGAATCTCGGCATCATGGGGACACCAATATTTCCTCCGGAGGCACATGCGCCCGCATGGTTTGTAGCAGCTAACATGGTGACTCAGACGGAGGATTCTGATCCAGCTCTCACGGAGCAAGCTAACCTCATGGCCCTAATGCATGCTAAATGACCCTTACCAACAAGATTGATTCCCTGCAGCTGGAGGTAGGCCTTATCAAGAAGGATTTTGACAAGATCCGCCATTGACTCGCGAAGGATTAACACTGGCTGGGCAACATGGAGGACACAGACCACTGAGCTCCCTTGCATACCCTCCAGGTGAAGGTATCTAGAATCCAAATTGGAGGATGCCGAAATCGTAATAGGCATAATAACCTGCGAATAATAGAACTGCGTGAAGGGACAGAAGTCCTGGATCCACCGGCTTTTACGGAGTGCCTACTTCACGCATTGTTCCCCCAGGTGGCCTTTTCATCCTTCTTTGCCATGGAATGAGCCCACAAGATGCCCATGGACCCTAAGGATGCCACCTGGCACTTTCATCTTTCGGCTACTAAACTTTCGGAATTGAGATCTTGGCGTCTGGGAGACCCATAAGTTGGATGTTATTCATAATGAGGCTGCTCGACTCTTGTTCTTCATGGATTTCTCTATGGATACGCAGAAGTTCCATAATTCCTTTGACTCAGTGAAACAGGCTTTACGCACCCATGGTCTCAAGTACAGCATGCTGTTCCCTGCCCACCTTTTGGGTGCAAGATGGGAAGACTGTTAATTTTTTTACTTCTTCTGAAGAAGCCTCACAGTGGGTCAATACATTACCACACTAATGATCCTGTGAGCTGTAATTCATCTGTCAACGTCTGTGAGTACTGTATCAGCTATGCAGTTTCTGCTGTCTGGATTGATATTACTAAGTGTATACATGATTCCCTGGCATTTTTACTGTCAGGGGTGATCTACCTTACCCCCTTCAAAAAAATCTCTTTTCCATTCAGCAGCATAGCAGCAGTTGCTCCAAAAGTGAGATAGCCTATACTGTGAACCACTGTTCCTCTCATGCCCCTTTACTGGATTTACAATATCTGCTATGGTGTATCTGTGACTAAATGTAACTTTTTGTACTTACTGCACACTTCTCACGACCCCATACTGACCATGTTTAGTTCAGGGATCCAAGTGCACCCTTGTTTGGTCGGGTGCACCGAGTGGGATGGGGAGGGACATGTGTTGTATATGTTTTACTAGTTAACTGTTTGAAGGAATGTGTTCTTTTTTTGTTTATATTCTGAGCTCATCTATATCTACACAGCATTCTAGTCAAAGTTTTCAAATTTATATGTTTGATGCTGTGCCTTGGGGTCCAGATGTCTGTACTCCACATGGTTTTTTCATTTCCTTTCCATTGTCATGACTCTGTTGATTCTAGTTTCCTGGAATGTCTGTTATTTGAATTTTAAAATTAAATGCTCCTTAGTATTTAACTTTTTGAAAACCTTTCAGCCAGATATCTGTATCCTTCAGGATATCCATCATACTGGAAGGGTTTTCAGTCCAAAAAAAATGCCTGGGTAGGACTCTATTATCATGCTACATACTCCTCTTATGCCCAAGGAGTTATTGTACGCGGTCGTAAAATCTTGTCTTTTGTACTCCTGGATCTATATCTGGACCCTAAGGGAAAATTTGTGGTGTTACGTGCTGTCATTGCAAATGTGCTTGTGGTAATGGTGGAACTATATATCCCTCCACCTACCACTATTGCTTTGCTTACCAAGGTAACCCAGTTAATAGCAACCTTCTTCTGAAGCTATGGTTTTAGCTGGAGACTTTAATATGACTCCTTGCCCCACATAGATACATGAACTCCAGACATGGCTTTAGATTCTCCATTCTCTCATTGGGCCTCTACTTTTGGGTTTATTGATGTTTGCAGATGGAAACAGCTCCTTCTCAAGAGCTATACATGTCACTCTGCCACATATACCGCCATGTCACATATTGATCTCATTTATGTCAGCCAACCTGTTTTAGCCAAGGTGCAGGAGTTGTCCATCCTTCCAAGGAGTATTTCAGATCACATCCCCCTTCTGCTAAGCCTCAATCTCTTAGTTGCCCCTACTGATTGTTTATGGCTCCTTTCACACTACTGGGTCTCTGATGAGCATGTTGAGTTGCTTGTAGAATCAGTCATACAGACCTATTGGGAGGCAAACCTCCCTGTGACAGATCCAGCTACTGGCTGGGGAGCCATTAAGATGCATGTGCGAGGTCAGTATCAGTCTGCCATTGGCACAGCCTGGCGGTGCTCCAAGGCTACACTTGACTGAGCTGAGATGAGGGCTGGTGCATTCGAGATTCTGCCAACAAGGATGAGGGGCTTCATAGAAACTTACAGACAGCCCTGCGGGAAGTTAGTCCAGAAGACAGGACACGATGAAAGTGTTTTGTTAAGAAAAGGAACAAAAAGTAATTTTTTGCCTTACTGGGATGTGTATGGAGTACCACCTGTCCAACAATATCACCTATCATTGTATGCCTACCCATTAGAGGAGAAGGGAGTCCCACCACTACTGCTGAGGAGACCCTTTATTGTCCTGGAGGAATACTGTGTTGCTTTATAGGCTCATTGGTCCTGAGGGGCCTGGGCAGGAAGGTGAGTGGGCACCCCAGACACTGAGGATTGGCACGAATTTGCTCACACCTGCATGAGGAGTGTTTTTTTCCATTTTATGGACATTTATTGATTATCTGGCTGCCCATGGTGTTTCCGCATATTTTATCCTTTAATACACCTAGTTGAATGCTTTATATTCCCGGCAAGGGATACACACACTGATTGCACTTATTGATCCCTCAAACTGAGGATCCTCTTCACAAGGGGTCAGTGCTATGCAAGTATATGTTTTTTACCTGTTGCACATTGATGTGTTATATTTGTGCTTTTCATGTATATTGTTTTCATTTTGTTTATGTTCTGTAGCGCTGCACTGCACTTATATCATATTGCATCCCCTATTGGTGCCGAGGTTGTGGCATTTTAGTGCTAGCTGCTTATTAGCTCGTTACGCATAATAGCACAGGAGGATTTTTACATTTTTTTCCTGCGGGAAGTTATGCTTCTTCGGATTGAAGAGGTTAAGAAACAGTTGCTTAACTAGTCCCAATGGATTTTCGAGCAGAGTGAACTGGCCGAGAGCTTACTGGTGTGGCTCTCTAGAGAGCAGATGACAACTACTTGTATTGCTAATATTAAAGAGGACTCAGGGACAATGCTAGCTGACTATGCTGCTAATTATGCTGACTTATACTCCTCCAAGGCTACCTATTCTATTGCTGATTTACGTGTCTTTTTGGAAGATATTCGGCTCCCGAAGCTTTCTGATACAACCTGCTGAGGGCTTGCGCTCCTCTCACCCTGTAAGAAGTCCAGGTGGCTATTGGTTCTCTACAATTGGGAAAGACCCCGAGTGAGGACGGCTTACCAACTGAATTTTATAAAACACATAGCGATCCACTTGCTGTCAAGATGCATTAAATTTTACCAACCTCTATGTCCAGGGCCATTATCGTTGTAGTAACTAAGCCTGGTAAGGATCTGGAGCTCTGCTCTTCATGCAGACCCTTATCCCTCCTAAATGTAGATGCCAAGATCATTACTAAAGTGCAGGGCAGCCATCAGAAATTTTGGGGCCCCTTACACAGCTTTAGGTCTGCCCCCCCGCCCCCCGGGCCTGACCACCAACATTCCCCAGGGCCCACCCACTGGCTGTCCCATTGAATCCGCCCACTGACTGTCCCACCGAATCCAACTGCTGGCCATCACATGAGTCTTTAACTGCCTACCGCCCGCAAGGTGGTTCTCTCGTTCATATGACGTCCTCCCATTCTCACCGCGCATGCGTGGCTCCCGAAGCACGCAGCGCGGCGATCGGCGGTGCGCTGTGTCCCGCAGACACAGTGGATCACCGATCCACAGAAAGAGCCAAAGATGTCGGCTCGGTCATGTGATCAGCTGTGTCCAATCACAGCTGATCACATGTAAACAGGGAAATGCCGGTTATCTGCATTTCTCTCTCCACAAGCTGTCACGCTGACAGCTCGTGAGGTGAGGAGAGCCGGTAATTGGCATTCCTCAGAGGGGACATGTACACAGATCATCAAGCACTGATGAGCAGTGTGCCCTGATTATCTGTGTAGCCCCAGCAGCACCACCTGTCAGTGTCCATCCGTGCCAGCTCTCAGTGCTCATCCATGCCACCTGCCAGTGCCCATCAGTGCCACCCATCAGTGCCACCTATCAGTGCCACCTATCAGTGCTGCCTATCAGTGTGCATCAGTGCCGCCTATCAGTGCCAGTCAGTGCAGCCTATCAGTGCTACCTATCAGTGCCATATATGAGTGCTGCCTTTCAGTGCCCATCAGTGATGCCTGTCAATGCCCATCAGTGCCACCTACCAGTGCCACCTATCAGTGTCCATCAGTGCAGCCTATCAGTGCCCATCACTGCAGCCTCATTAGCGCACATCAGTGAAGGAGAAAAATCACTTATTTACAAAATTTCGTAACAAAAACTAAGAAAAAAACGTTTTTTTTTTTTTTTTTTTGTTTTTCAAAATTTTCAGTGGTTTTTAGTTTGTTTAAGAAAAAATAAAAAACCCAGAGGTGATTAAATACCACCAAAATAAAGCTCTTTCTGTCACAAAAAGACTAAAAATTTCATATGGGTACAGTGTTGCATGACCGCGCAATTGTCATTCAAAGTGCAACAGCGCTGAAAGCTGGAAATTGGCCTGAGCAGGAAGGGGTATAAGTGCCCTGTAGGCTAGTGGTTAAGTGCACCCACTTTTATTTTAAAACTCTTACAACTTAATATATCCTCCATCCCATGGCCTCCTCTTCTACTCCCATCTCTTCCTCCAGTCCTATCTCCTCCTCTTCCATCTCATGTTCTCCTCCTCCTCCAGTCCCATCTCACTCCCCATGTCCTCCTCTTCCAGTCTTATCTCCCCCATCCCATGCCCTCCTCCATCTCATGTCCTTTTCCTCCTTCAGTCCCATCTCCTCCTCGTTCAATCCCAACTGCTCCGATTCTGCTTGTGATTTGAAAATGCTCTGCTAAAATGACAAATCGCACAACGCAAATTTCAGGTGACATTCAATTTAGTGACACCTGAAAACACGGTGCAGTTCTGTCATGATTATCACATGATAAGCAGGAGCGGGAGCTTCTTTTGAGTGACAAGATTTGTGCGATGCGGTTTGCCATGATTGCAGCATTATTTATCACGTGAATGGCACCTGAAATTCGCATTGTGCGATTTGTCATTTTAGCAAAGTGGTTTGAAATCCCGGACAGAATTGCTGCAATTCAAAATGCCCATATGTGAACAGAGCCTGAGAGAGGAAACAAAGAGAGAGAGGAGGGTAAGAAGGAGGTAGAGAGGGGGTGATAAAAGAGGGGAGAGGAGGAGGGGGGGAATAGAAGGAAAAGAGAGGGAGGAGAGGGAGGAAGGAAGAAGCAGAGCATTACAGGGTGGGGGGGGGGGGAGGGTGGCTGTTCTGGGTGCGGAATCCTCACTCACAAATTATGCCTCCTCCCTTCAGGCTGATCTCCCCCGGGGCTTTGGAAGCTAGCAGCTATTGTTTCAAAACTGCCACCCAGCTGCCCACAGAACTCCTCTCACAGAATAGTGCATTGGGCAGAGTCTTGGATTGGACATGCAGCGGAGTGAGGGAAGAGCTAGGAGAACAGTGGAGACAGGACTACAGGACAGGCAACAGAGCGGATACAGCCCAACTCCCATGCAAGCTGCTTTCCCCGCTCTCACTTTATCATTATGCCAGGCTGGCAGTGGCTGTGGAGTAGCTAGAGGGCTATAGCCGCTCTACAAACTATTCGAGTCAGTCATGGTGTCTGGGGGAAAAGATGCTCCTCCAGCACACACACACTTTGCCTCCTGCTACTCCTCTGGCTCTTGCTAATCCATGCGGCAATTGCCCCTGACCCAGTCCGACCTTGCCTACATGTGTATGGGCTGTCCCCCCCGATGGCAACCCTGTTAAAGTGTTAACTACCTGCCTCAACAAGGTTATTCTATCTCTGTTCCATAGAGATCAGACTGGGTTTATGCCAGGTATGGGTACTGATATCAACTTGAGACAGTTATTTACTGTTAGTGCTGTTATTGCTCGTGCTGTTGGGGGGGGGGGGGGGGAAGCCGGGGTTGGTGGTCTCCCTGGATGCTGAAAAAGCTTTTGACTCGGTGGAGTGAGAATATTTGTGGCTGGCTTTGGAGCAACTTTTCGATCATGGCTGCATTCGCTATATTCGATCCTGATGGTTACAGTCCATACAAATGGCATTCTGTCAATGCCATTTCACCTCCACTGAGGCACTCAACAAGGTTGCCCCCTCTCCCTGGCTCTCTTTGCCCTGGCTATCGAGTGGTGGTTTTGTGGGCCTCACATGAGGTTCAGGGCTTATCGATCCCACCTTTGATTGAAAAAGTATCCCTATATGCTGATGACACTCTCCTGTACTTACAAGATTCCCATCAGTCTTTGAGGCTGCCTTGGAAATAAATCAATCATTTTAGTCTATTTTCAGGTATCATGATAAATTGGGACAAATCAGTCTTGTTTCCCGTGACCCAGAATGCGCCCTCTCTTACTTAGGTAACATGCTTTAAATACCTGGGAGTCTATGTGCAGAAAGATCTTACTTCCTATTTTGAGGATAACCTCTACCTTATCCTACATCAATTTATTCAAAAGAGCTCCACCTGGAAGTTATTGCCATTGACCCCACTGGGTAGAGTAAATTTGATTAAAATTACCTATCTCCCTAAATTTATTTATATTTTTCACCATACCCCTGTACCAATCCCTAATGCTTTTTTTTTTTTTTTATTAAATTGGACCAAGCCATCACCTCTTTCATTTAACCAGGTTCAGTCCCCCATGTGACTTGATCTACCTTGCAGCTCTCCCTGTCTGAAGGGGGTCTGGCACTGCCCTGTTTTAAGAAATATCTTTGGGCACCAGTTCTTGTTACTGTAAGATGGTGGTTTGCCCAGGATCGCTCCAACCCTGCAGTGGACTTGGAGGCGGAGATTCTTGGGTCATATTTAGAACTTAGTAATGTGGTGTACAAGGGCCCGTGGTCTAGTCCTCATGTTACTGCCCCTATGAAGACTACAATATTAGTTTGGAAACAGGCCACTGCATACTTCAGTGATCCTCAAACGATCTCTCCTTACACTCCTTTGTAGGGTAACTCACTGTCTCGTTTGAGGTCTATTCCCGACCCACAGATCTGGGCCCGCTATGGTATCAGAATTATGCGACACATCTTGCTTGAAGGAGATCTTTGCAGATATTAAGCGCCAATTTCAGCTTCTGTCTTCTAATGTGTCCATCTTACCCCTGTCCATCCCCACCCTTCTTCTTCCCTTGGGTCTGGGCCTCAGAGTGTACTTATGTCTCTTTCTTTTCCCTCCTCTCTCCTGCCCACTAAGTAGATGGGAAAAGAGGTAGGGATGTTCTCTCTTATTTGAATGTTTTGTAATGAACTGTGTGGAGAGCCACTAGGGTCGGTATATGCTTGACTTTATGGTCTGTGCTATCAATGCCTTTTCCTTTTGATGAACACTTTCTTTGTGGTTTGAGCTTGGGAAATGTACTATTATGTACTCTTGCTATTATTCACATGTACACTTTGCTATAATTTTGATAAACATTCCTTCTGTTAAAAATAAAAAAAGGAGGGATCTCTCTAGAGCCAGGACCCGCTCAGTGATGTCAGCCGACAGTGAGCTTCAGCCTGCTGTTGGCTGAATATGGGTCACAGGAGTGCAGAAGTAAGTGCACTCCTTTGACCTACAGGAGAACTTGGGCCAAAAACAGAAAACTGAATGATACTTACCGTAATTTTCCTTTCCTGACGCGCTTTATGTCAGCTCAGCTGAATAAGGGCCCTGCCCCCCCCCCCCCCCATGCTTCCAGGACCTAACTCATAAATTTGAGCTCACGTGCAGACTCGTTCTGTAACTAGTCCTACCAAGCTGGGTGGGAAATTGTGTTGACATGGAGCTTGTCAGGAAAGGAAAATTATGGTAAGTATTTTGTCATTCAGTTTTCCATTAGCCTGACAACTCCATATCAGCACAGCTGGAAACAACTAGCCACACAGTGGAGGGATAATGCTACAACACTCCTCAGTTCTGACTAAAAGCAGAAGCAAGGATGCCTCTGCCAAACTCAACTGTCATTAAGACATTAAGACTGCTTCTATACAGTAATGAGCCATGAACATATATATTGACCCCCACGTAGCTGCCTTGCAGATAATGTCTTCAAACACTCAGCCTGCTGGTGCTCACAAGGTTGAGACCTTTCAGGTTGTAGGAAGGACCAACTTTTTGTTACAATATGGACTCTGAAGGGCCACTTAGGCACGATCATTGAGCATATTCCACTCCTAATCTCTCTTGGGATGACTGTAAATTAAGGATTTCTGTTAAACAACCAGTGGCCCCTAATTACAGGACATAATCATTCTGGCCTGTGTAATTGCCACCATGAAGCGAGTTTTCAGCAAGAAAGTTCCACATTGGGTTTCACTTTGATTGAAGGCATCTGGATGGAAAACCAAGTCCAACACCAATTGGAGATCCTAATTTACAAACAACAATCCTTAGGTAAGGTATCCATACCAAAGTTTGCTGCCTTGAAAGAACATTATAGAGATGAGCGAAGTATATCAAAAAATTCGATTCTGCTGATTCGGCGCGAATTCGAGCGAATAATTTCGATTTTTTTCGATGGCGAATATATTTCGCTGCGAATTATAACTTATAAAAAGGGTGGTATACTATGCTTCAGAGAGCCTATAGTATTAGTGCAGAAACACTGTACCTTGAATTTAAATGCCCTTGGGAGTCTGCCTGGGGAAGAGAATTAATACTGTCAGTCAGGTATGAACATGCAGAAATGAGTGCCGTCGATCTTTAGGAATCACCGCACACTTCACTCCATTTAGTGCAGGTCACGGGGCCAAAACCAGAGTGTGGAGCCACAGTGTGGCGGTGGATGGTCACCCCATCCAGAGCAGCAATGGAGAGGCCATATCAGCTCCCTATGACAAAAATGGAACCCACCAGCAGTGTGAGGAAGACCTGAATGTGGCACATGGCAGAGATGTGGCGATGGAGGACCGCAGCAATTGAGGAGGCAGTTAGCAGGGAACCCCATGGACACACTCTGGACCTGGCAAGCAGCATGAGGATGGCCAGGTACAATGGGCCCCTGACAGATTACGGGCCTGGCAAGCAGCATGAGGAGTCGGTACGGGGGCCCATGGCAGATTACGGGCCTGCAGCAGCACTGGTGAAGGCCATACAGCACCCTATGACAAAATAGGAAAACCCACCAGCAGTGTGAGGAGACCTGAATAGTGGCACCATGGCAGAGTGTGGGCGATGGGACAGCAGCAAATGGAGGCCGATACAGGGACCCAATGAGACACTCTGGACTCTGGCAGCAGCATGAGGAGGCGGTAAACAAAAATATGGTGGGCCCATGGCAGATTACAGGGCCTGGCAGCAGCAATGGGGAGGCACGTACCGTAATCTGCGTGCCAGCTACAGCTATGACAAAATGGAACACATCCACGCCACCAAGCAGTGTGAGGAGACCTGAAAGTGGCACATGGCCTGAGTGATGGCGATGGAGACAGCAGCAATGGGAAGGCCGTACAGGGGACCCCATGACACACTTCTGGACCTGGCAGCAGCATGAGGAGGCGGTACGGGGCCCCATGGCCAGATTACGGGCCTGGCAGCAAGCAATGGGAGGCCCGTAATCTGCCAGCAACCATATGACAAATTGGAAAGATCACGACCGGCAGTGTGAGGAGACCTGAAAAGTGGGCACATGTTTGGGGCATGATTCATGGGGATTTATTCCCGTTGTGTCAGGAAATGGTTTGGGTTTTAAATTTCCCGGGGCTTAAACCACCCCCTGTTTTATTTTTACAAACGTGAGTCTTTTCCACACTTTGGGGGGGACAAATGTGTCCCCGCGGAGGGTTTTAAATACCCCTGCCGCACAAACCGCGCTCCGATGCCACGCAAAATTTGGGGGGCAAAGACAGCCCTTTTTAAGGGAAAAAATTTAGCTAGGGTTGGGGGGCCCAAAAGGCCAAATTTCGTTGCCCCGAAAAAAAGGGGATTGTCTACCTCGGTTTTGGGGAAAGGGGGCTGTCCCCAAATAGGCCCAAGCCTTTTTGTTTTAGGCCTGCCCAGGAAACCCCCTTCAAACTGCTTTCGCAGCGGGTAAGTAGTTTCCTCACTGCGCTGGTGAAGAAAAATACTCACATCGACTGCAGAATGAGGGGAGCCCCTGCTGGGAAAACTGCCACTGCCCCCTTTCCCCCCCCCACCCCCCCCTTGTTGCCAAGGCCGCGGGAAAGGGGAGCGCACCCGGGACCACAGGTTGAGGAAAGGGCGTTGGCGCCGAAAACAAAGACCCCCAAGAAAAACCCTTTGGGGTTTTTTTTTGTACTTTATTTTTGGCCTCCCTCAAGGTGTGAAAAAGGCCACCATTTTTTAACGGGTTTTGGAAGGGGCCAAAAAAGGGGGACAGCCAAAAAAATTTCCCCCTGTCTGATGGGTTTTATTTTCGGGTTTTCGTACGCAAAAAAAAACACCCCCGCAGCTATGGGCCAATTTTTTGGCCCAAGGGGGCTGCGAGGGCTCCCTGCCTCCAAATCCACCCGCAAATTTCCAAAGGTTTTTCGTCTGGGTCCTCTGTCTCTCCTCCTCCTCCTCTACCGATGCTTTCCCCCTCCAACCCCTCCTGTCCCGGGGAAAAAAAAACCCATTTCAATCAATAATTTTCCGGCCCCCCAATGTCCTCCTCTCCTCCTCCTCCCTTTTTCCGTCCTGCCTCCCAGGGGTCATGTGGGTTTAGATTTTGTGCGCCACGCTACCGCACTTTAACCCGCCTTGTTTTTAAAAGCATTTGTTTCCCGGGACGTGCAACAGAGGGAAAGCGTCGTTTCATCCCCCTTTTCCTGCCCACTCACGAATAAAGGGGGTGGCCTCCAAAAGGGCCTGAGCAAAAAAAAACGGCGGTTCACGCATTTACTGCCAATGGGTGACATCTTTAAATTACACGGGGAGTACCTTTATCACGCTTTAAACCCCAGGAAATCGTGATGGCCCTTTTGCTGTTTTGTAAAGGGGGTTTCTAACATATTTGGGGGGGAATTCCCCCCTTGTTTTCCCCAACCCCTCCCAGCATTTAAGGGGTCGGTAAAAAGGGGGCCCCGGGGAGATTTTGGGCCTGGCAGCCCGCAATGGGAAGGGCCCGAAACTGCCCCACCCTAGAAAAAATGGAACACCCCCAGCAAATGTGAGGAGACCTGAAAGTGGGACTTGGGGAGAGGGGTGGGGATGGGGACAGCAGCAATGGGGGGCCGTACAGGGACCCATGGGAGACTCTGGGCCCGGCAGCAGCATGAGGAGGCCGGGGGCCGGGGGCCCCTGGCAGATTTCGGGAATGGCAGCAGCAATGGGGGGCCCCTTAAACTGCCAGCACCCCATAACAAAATGGAAAAACCCCAAAACTTTTGAGGAGACCTGAAAAGTGGCACAAGGCGAGTGTTTCCCATGGAGACAGCGCAATGGGGGGCCGTACAGGGACCCATGAGAAAACTGTTGGGCCTGGCAGCAAACATGAGGAAAGGGGGGGTTTTCAGGGGCCCCCTGGGAGATTACAGGCCTGGCCCCGCAGCAAAAGGGAGGGCCCCTAATCTGCCCCGCACCCTATGGCAAAATTTGGGAAAACACCCGCAGGTGAGGGGGACCTGGAAAAGTGGCACCCTGGAAAAGGGGGTGGCGAGGAGACAGCCAATGGGAGGCCGTACAGGGACCCTGAGACCGTGGAACCTTTGGGGGCAGCATGAGGAGGTGGGGGACAGGGGGCCCCTGGCGATTACAGGGCCTGGGCAGCAGCAATGGGGGGGCCCCGTAATCTGCCAGCACCCTATGACAAAATGGAACACACAGCAGTGTGAGGAGACCCGAAAGTGGCACATGGCCGAAATGTGGCATTGGAAAACAGCAGCAAAGGGGGGGCCGAAAAAGGGAACCCCTAGAGACTCTGGACCTGGCAAAACAGAATTTAAAGGGGGCGGTTTCGGGGCCCATGGCAGATTTTTAAAAGGGCCCGGCCGCAGGGAATGGGAGGCCCGTAATCTGCCAGCCCCTATGCCCAAAAAGGAACACACCAAACAAGGGGAGGAGACCCGAAAGGGCACATGGAGGAAATGTGGCGATGGAGACGCACAATGGGAAAGGGGCCTACGGGGGCCCATGAGAGGGTCTGGACCTTTGGGAGCAGGGATGAGGAGGCCCGGGAAAAGGGGCCCCCTGGGAGATTACAGGGGCCCGGGAGCAGCAATTGGGGGGCCCCTAATCTTTCCAGCACCCCTTTTGACAAAATGGAAACACACCACAGTGTTTAAGAGGAACCCGAAAGTGGGACATGGGGAGAGTGTGGGGGATGGAGACAACACCCAAAGGGAGGCCTTTCAGGGCCCCCTTAAGGGCACCTGGACCTCCCCCGGCAGATTTAGGAGGGGGTTCAGGGGCCCCTGGCCCGATTACGGGCCTGGGGAGGGACCCAAAGGGGGGGGTCGTTTAAACCCGCCCGCACCCTATGACAAAAAAAACACACCAGCAGGGGTGGAGGGGCCCTTAAAGTGGCACATGGCAAGTGGGCGATGGAGACAGGCCCGCAATGGGAGGCCGTACAGGGGAAACCCCTGAGACCCCAACTGGACCCCGGCAGCAGCATGAGGAGGGGGGGGTTTCGGGGGGGCCCCTGGCAGATTTTCGGGCCTGGCAGCAGCAAAAGGGAAAGGGCCCCTAATCTGCCAGCACCCCTATGGGCAAAATGGAACACAAACCCCAGTGTGAGGAACCTGAAAGTTTGGGAAAATGGCAAGGGGTGTGGTGATGGAGACCCGCAGCAATGGGAGGGGGTACAGGGACCCATGAGAGACTCTGGACCTGGCAGCAGCAGGGGAGGCGGTAAGGGGCCTGGCAATTCGGCCTGGCAAAGCAGCAATGGGAAAGGCCCCTAAACTGCCAGCCCAAACCTTTAATTGGGGCAAAATGGAAAAACCAAACCGCAGTGTGAGGAGACCCGAAAGTGGCCATGGAGAGGGGTGGCGATGGGGACAGCAGCAATGGGAAAGGGGGCCCTTCAGGGGGCCCAAAGAGAGACTCCGGGCCTTGGGAGCAAAATGAGGGGGCGGTTTCGGGGCCCCTGGCAGATTAAGGCCTGGTAAAAAACAGCAATGGGAGGCCCGTAATTTTGCCACACCCTATTTAAAAAAATGGAACACACCCCATGTGAGGAGGGCCTGAAAGTGGCCCCATGGCAGAGTGGGGCGAAGGGGGGACAGCACAATGGGGGCCGTACAGGGGCCCGAGAGACTCTGGACCTGGCAGCAGCCCTGAGGAGGGGGGTACAGGGGCCCATGGCAATTAAAAGGGCCCGGCCCGCAAACAATGGGGGCCCTAAACTGCCCGCAACCCCATGACAAAATGGAACACACCCGCAGTGTGAAGAGACCTGAAAGTGGCCTTGGCAAAAGGGGTGGCGATGGAAACAGCAGCAAAAGGGGGGCGTACGGGACCCAAAAACACTCTGGACCGGCCCGCCCCAAGAGGGGGAGGCGGTAAAAAGGGGCCCATGGCAGATTAAAAGGGCCTGGCCAAACCCGCAATGGGAGGCCCCGTAAAACTGCCAGCACCCAAAGACAAAAAAGGGGAAAACACCCGCAGTTGGGAGACCCGAAAGTGGCACATGGCAGAGTGTGGCGAGGAGACGCAGCAAAAGGGGGGCCGTAAAAGGGACCCATGAGCACTCCCGGACCCGGCAGCAGCATGAGGAGGCCGTTTCCCCGGGGGGGCCCCCAAAGCCAGAATTTTAAGGGTGGGAAACGGCCCAAAGGGGGGGCCCGTAATCTGCCAGCAAACCCCATGACAAAATGGAACAACCCACAGTGGGGAGGAGACCTGAAAGTGGACATGGCCCGGGGTGTGGGGGGATTTGGGGAAAAGCAGCAATGGGAAAGGCCCCCTACAAAGGGGGCCCATGGAGACTCTGGACCGGCAGACATTTTTGGGGGGGGGCCCGGAAAAGGGGCCCATGGCAGATTTCCCGGGTGGCCAAACAGCAATGGGGGAGGCCCGGAAACTGCCAGCACCCTATGACAAATGGAAAAACAACCCCAGTGTGAGGAGAAAACCCGAAAGGGGGGCACATGGAAAAGTGTGGGGGATGGAACAGCAGCAATGGGAGGCCCTAAAAGGGGGCCCCAAAGAGACCCCTTGGGGCCTGGGGGAGCAAACATGAGGATGTGGGTTTCAGGGGGCCCATGAGATTACGGCCTGGCAGCAGCAATGGGAGGCCCATTAATCTGCACAGCAACCTATGAACACAAAATGGAAACCCAACCAGCCAGTGTGAGGAGACCTGTGAAAGTGGCAACATGGCAGAGTGTGGCGATGGAGACAGCAGCAATGGGAGCGAGTCGGTGATCAGGGACCCCATGAGGACACACTCTGGGGCCACCTGCTGGCCTTGCATGCATGAGGAGGTGCGGTAGTTACGGGGGCCCATGGCAGATTACGGGCCTGGCAGCAGCAATGGGAGTGGGGAGGCCCGTAATTCTGCCAGCACCCTATGACAAAATGGATACACACCAGCTGTGTGGGATGGAGACTGAAAAGTGGCACATGGCCCAGTAGTGGTTGGCGATGGAGGAGTACAGCGCAGCAATTCTGGGGGGCTCACGTACAGGGACCGCATTGAGACACTGTGGACCTGCGGGCAGCAGCTTGAGGGAGGCGCTAGGTCACGGTATACAGGGGCCCTTGGAAGATTACAGAGCTCTGCTCCGGCAGCAATGGGAGGCCCCGTAATCTACCAGCCACCCTATGACAAAATGGTAACAATCCAGCAGGTGTGAGAGGAGACCTGAAAGTGGTCACATGGCAAGAGTGTGGCGATCGGAGACTGCAGCAATGAGGGCCTCCCTTACAGGGGACCCAATGTGAGTACACTGTGGACCTGGGCTAGCAGGCATGAGCCGAGGAGGCGGGGTGGGTACATGGGGTGCCGCCATGGCAGATTAACGGGCCTTTGCAGCAGCAATGGGAGGCCCGCGTAATCTGCCAAGCACCCTATGACAAAATGGAACATACCAGCAGTGTGAGGAGGGGACAAAAAAGGGAGGAAAAGTAGGTGTACATGGCCAGAGTGTGGGTGATGGAGACATGGTCCCCCTGGCCACCGCTTGACTTTCTGGCCGACATAGGTCGACATACGGATAAGTTTACTTCCTCCGGGCGGCTTGAACGGTAAATTTGCATAGCCAGTAGCACCGCCGAGTAGGAATCTTTGCCCCCGCTACTCCTCACTGAGCATGACTGTTGAGGCGAAGAGGCCTCAGTGCAACCTGAGGGGTGCAGCATCCTACTACTGTGGGTCCGTCGGTGGTTAGGCTGCAAGTGGAGCTGGTGCTGTACTCCGTGGCCGTTTAGCGGTCGACCACTGACACCAGCTGCGACCTTGGCTGCATCCTGGCAGCCCACCGACTGTTATGCTCCACTGCCAAGCTGCACCCTCTTTCTCCTGATGATTGCGGGAAGCTCCGGGCGGCGGGGCGCGATGCATAGGAGGGGGGATGGGCTGCGCGGGGTGACGACGAGGCTGCCCGCTAAGTGCGTTCAGCCGGCACGCATCCATCAAATTAAGGGGTCTCCGCCTCACTACTAGCCCCCTCGGCTGAGTGTGGGTCAGGAGACAGACCTGTCTTTCTAGAACGGCTACCGAGCTCGGTCTCTCCTCGCCAGTAACTTCTTCGCCTGGGCTGCTGAAGAGGGCGGATGTATCCCCCCGTTCCTGGAACCGCCCTCTCTGTTAGCTCTCCTCACTGTTACTAGTGGGGCTGTGACCCACAGCATGCGATACTTCGCTTGGTGAGGGAACAATCCCAAAGGAACAGGGGAAGGTCTACGAGGAACACGTGATTTTCAGTGGTCTTCGCCACCCCGGGGCCATGCCAACTAACGGGTGTGTCCTTTTACGTAGCCCACCGTTTTTCGTTGGCTTTGTAGGTGTCAGAGGTGACCTGGGAATTTCTTTTGAAGACGGATTCGAGCCCAACCAAATCGATGACGGCTGGGTTTTTCGGTTTGGAGACTCACGAACAGCTGGATTGAAACCGGAAGCACTGGCCTCATGGCTGCGAACTAGTGCTGCCATCGACCCTTTCCTCATGCTGCCATGTCCTGCTCGCTCCTAAAAACATTGCCGTCCTCCTGCCACTCCTCTGCATGTTGTCTGAAACATACTCCTTTTAATTCATCGATTCTGTGTCCACTAGAGTAAGAGTAGTAACAATTCTGATGTCCCCCAGTTTAACAATTCTGTTGTCATGTCCCTGAGTAATCATTTCTGATGTCCCTGAGTAACAATTCTGTGGTCTTTTGAGTAACAATTTCTGTGTCACCCGAGTAACACTTCTGTGTCCCCGAGTAACTTTAATTCTGATGTCCCTGAGTTAACAATTCCAGTTGTCCTCAGTAACATATTCTGTGTCCCCTCAGTAACAATTCTGTGTCTGTCCCTGAAGTAACAATTCTGTGTCCTTATCATGTTTTAACAATTTCTGTTTCCCTCCCAGTAACAATTCTGTGTCCTGTCCTGAGTAACAATTCTGTGTCCCCGATGAAGTAAACATTCTGGTCCCTCAGTAACATTTCTGTGTTTCCCTCAGTAACCAATTCTGTGTCTGTCCTCAGTAACAATTTCTGTGTCCCTGAGTAACAATTTCTGTGTCACCTCAGTAACAATTCTGTTCTGTCCCTGAGTAACAATTCTGTGTCCCTTCAGTTTCAATTTCTGTGTCCTTCATTAAGACAATTCTGTGTCCCTCTAGTAACAATTCTGTGTCTGTCCCTGAGTAACAATTCTGTGTCCCTGAGTAACAATTTCTGTGTCCCCTCAGTATCATAATTCTGTGTCCTCGCTCAGTAACAATTCTGTGGTGACCCTGAGTAACAATTCTGTGTCCCTCAGTAACAATTCTGTGTCCCTCAGTAACGATTCTGTGTCCCTCAGTAGTACAATTCTGTGTCCCTGTGCTCAGTTAACAATTCTGTGTCCCTCAGTAACGATTCTGTGTCCCTCAGTAACAATTCTGTGTCCCTCAGTAACAATTCTGTGTCCTGTCCCTGAGTAACAATTCTGTGTCTGTCCCTCAGTAACAATTCTGTGTCCCTCAGTAACAATTCTGTGTCTGTCCCCTGAGTAACAATTCTGTGTCCCCTCAGTAACAATTCTGTGTCCCTCAGTAACAATTCTGTGTCCCTCAGTAACAATTCTGTGTCTGTCCCTGAGTAAACAATTCTGTGTCAGTAACGTTCTGTGTCTGTCCCTGAGTAACAATTCTGTGTCCTGAGTAACAATTCTGTGTCCCTGAGTAACAATTCTGTGTCCCAGTAACAATTCTGTGTCCCTCAGTAACAATTTCTGTGTCCCTCAGTAACAATTCTGTGTCTGTCCCTGAGTAACAATTCTGGTTGTCCCTCAGTAACAATTCTGTGTCTGTCCCTGAGTAACAATTCTGTGTCCCTGAGTAAACAATTCTGTGTCCCTCAGTAACAATTTTGTGTCCCTGAGTAACAATTCTGTGTCCCTGAGTAACAATTCTGTGTCCCTGAGTAACGATTCTGTGTCCCTCAGTAACAATTCTGTGTCCCTCAGTAACAATTCTGTGTCTGTCCCTGAGTAACAATTCTGTGTCCCTCAGTAACAATTCTGTGTCTGTCCCCTCAGTAACAATTCTGTGTCCCTCAGTAACAATTCTGTGTCCCCTGAGTAAACAATTCTGTGTCTGTCCCTGAGTAACAATTCTGTGTCCCTCAGTAACAATTCTGTGTCCCTCAGTAACAATTCTGTGTCTGTCCCTGAGTAACAATTCTGTGTCCCTTCAGTAACAATTCTGTGGCCCTCAGTAACAATTCTGTGTCTGTCCCCTGAGTAACAATTCTGTGTCCTGAGTAACAATTCTGTGTCCCCTCAGTAACAATTCTGTGTCCCCTCAGTAACAATTCTGTGTCTGTCCCTGAGTAACAATTCTGTGTCTGTGTCCCTGAGTAACTATTCTGTGTCTGTCCCTGAGTAACAATTCTGTGTCCCTCAGTAACAATTCTGTGTCCCTCAGTAACATATTCTGTGTCTGTCCCTGATAAGTAACAATTCTGTGTCTGTCCCCTGAGTAACAATTCTGTGTCTGTCCCTGAGTAACAATTCTGTGTCTGTCCCTGAGTAAACAATTCTGTGTCAGTCTGTCCCTGAGTAACAATTCTGTGTCCCTCAGTAACAATTCTGTGTCCCTCAGTAACAATTCTGTGTCCCTCAGTAACAAATCTGTGTCTGTCCCTGAGTAACAATTCTGTGTCTGTCCCTGAGTAAACAATTTCTGTGTCTGTCCCTGAGTAAATCAATTCTGTGTCCCTAAGTAACGGTAAAGCAATGTGTCTGTCCTTAAGATAATTCTGTGGTTCTGTGTCCCTAAGTAACGATTCTGTGTCCCTTAAGTAACGGTTCTGTGTCCCTAAGTAAACGGGTTCTGTGTCCCTAAGTAACGATTGTGTGTCCCTAAGTAACGGTTCTGTGTCCCTAAGTAACGGTTCTGTGTGGCCCTAAGTAACGATTCTGTGTCCCTAAGTAACGATTCTGTGTCCCTAATACAGAGAGAATCTGTCTCTCTTGAATGACCAGAGGCAAATGGAGAATTGTAAAAAGATCGCGCCGCAATTTATAGCTCCATCCATTACACAGTGCTCGCTGGCTGGCTGCTGATTGGCTAATGCGATCACATGTCATGAATGAATGCATTATGGGTCAGCGCGCCTTGTCTGCGCGCCTTCCCAGAGATCCCTGCTCCGTCGCCGCACATGTCGCTGCCATTTTTTGGGAAAAATTTCGATTCGCGAGCATCCCGAAGTCTGCTAATTTTCGGATTCGACGCGAATCGAAATTTTTCCTAATATTCGAAACGAATTCCACTTCGCCGAGTTCGATTCGCTCATCTCTAAACATTATAATTAAGTGTGGGATGCCCACTGTATGCTGGTGAAGGCAGAAATTATAGCTGAAATGTGGGTCCATAGTGTACTTATGCATAAACCCTAAATCAAAGCCACCTGCAGAAACTTAAGAATGTGACAGACTTGTGAAGAAACCCATTGTAAAACCTTTATCAGCAGCAATCCTGTGAATTTATGTCATATTTCTACTATAGGCACTGTTAGTGTTGTTGTTCTTTGTTTCCATAAGAGTATTCACAACCTTTACAGAGTGCCTGAGATCTGTTAGCCTCTGCCTCTCAAGACCCAAGCTATGAGCTTGAGCCTGTCAGGTGTTGGATGAATGGGACTTTGGAGGGAGTGGATCCTTGACACTTATTAGGAGGGGCAGAGGGTAAACAAGGCCCCTTCAACCAATCTGAGATCACCCCCAGAACTATCACCCTTCCCCTGCCACAGCCTCAGCAGGAAGCAGAGAATCAGAGGGAGAGGCAGAAAGGCATAAGCTGTCCTGGAGAGCCGCTCTGCGATCAGCACCTCCACTACCCATGCTTGCTTTTGGAAGCTGGACCCTGGAATAGAACTTCAACAACTTGATGTTGACTGAGGATCTGAACAGGCCTACCTCTGGAAGAGATTACCATGCCTGTTTGTGTTCTCAAAAAACTTTTGGAAGTCTAGACCATTCATTGTCATTCAGGATTGTCCTGGACAAATTGCCTAAAGATTCTTCCAACCGGGCACATAGGTTAAGATAGCTGCGATCCTGGACCCTTGAAAAAGGACATTGGTCCTGAGCCCATTGCTCCTAAATTAGGGCTCTCCAACTACTTTGCTGATGTCTTACTGCACCACCAGCAACAAGGTCGTCAGATGGGAATGACATTGCAGGAGATTGTGCTTCTCCAACCACAAATTTAGTCTTACTTTCATACAGCGTGTAATCCATATCTTTTGACCTAGGCCCTCTGACTGCTACCAGTCCAGAAA